ACTCCACTCACTTCCTTTCCATCTTTCCATTCACATTCTCGAGTTGCCATTCCAGTCTTTTCATCAATCAGACATCCTTTCCCTTCACGAATAAATCGTTCATTGTCTTCATCATAGCGAAATCCACCCACATAGATCGGAATTCGTTTCGTTGGGTCCAAACTATCTGCTCCGTTTCGCTTCAATTCGGTCATCGTATCTCCATTGAAACATCGAATCACTTCTTTCAATACTCCTTTGCTCCACATCCCTTCCACAGCCACATTTCCGCTTTCTTCATCGTATTCGATGCCCCAGCCTTCTTTCATTCGTCTTTCGTTGTACCCTCCGTGATACAGCAAATGCCCCGTTCTAACTGACCAGATTTCCATTCGAAGTCCTTTCTTGTGGTAAACAAAACGTTTGTTATTCATTTGTTCCAAAATATACTCGAATCGCTGACTGAAATCGGCTCGACCATTCTTGTATCGAATAAACTCCTCCGATTTCTTCCCATTCTCGTCCTCCTTCCATTCTTGTTTCAGTACGTTATTTTCAAACAGATACATATCATCAGTTTCTGAGCGCAATAGAAATTCGTTCTTGTGCTTTCCCTGGAATCGCTGAACAGTGTATTTGATTCCACCCTTGACCAGGGTTTCAGGGTGGCCGAGCGTACCGTATCCGTCCAGCAGATACTCGGTGAAGCGAATTTCAGTCAAATAGGCTATTCATTAGCATGGAAGATAACACAATACATTCTTCTACCATTTTATTTGACCAAAATAAAAAAATTATGAGAAAATCCAAAAGCACACTCAGTTTAATATCCAGTTTAAATATCGCCGAAACACAATTCTATTTTTCTATTGGAAATTTTGGAGTATGTATACATGGTGTAAGTCGAGCTAGAAATGCCTGCTTCTTAAATTCCAGCAAAAGTGGTTCTATTTGCTTCTCGATTTTTCATATTTCTTCTATCAAATATGTCTTGCTATTTTCAAAGTGAATATTCAAAAATGAACCATTATCAATTGAGTGGTGGAGCATTCGATAGGAAATATGTCGATTCATTGCAATTCCACAAATACATTCCATTGTTTATTTTGGGAAGCTTTGTTATTTTTGGTTGGGTATTCACACACATTAATAGCTAATACAATTATATGAGAAGTGAAGAACGCTATTTTGATTGTGTTTTTGTTTTCTTGAACACTTGAGAATGGAGTGTCTTTGAAACAAGATTTCCTAAGCTAGTCTGTGTTTATAACACTATTATTGGTGTTATCAGAGCTTTGTAGCTAGTTCTAAAGGAGCACAGTAGAAAACAGTTTCAGTAGTGTATTTCGCTATCTCAATATAATCCACCGAAATAATAGGGCTCAAGAATAGTTTTGTTTTGGCTTTGTTATCCAACTGGTTAAGTCACTTTCGATTTGCTTCGAAGGAATTTCCTATAATGTCAGGAAAATGTCCAAATTGTAGGTTTCGTTGTTTCCAAATAGACTTCGTGTATTTTCCATATACTTCGCATCTATTGTCAGTTTCTCATTTCTAACACTAAAATATGCCATTTGAAATTCTAATTGGCCGTTTTCCGGAGATAACAACGAAATAGCACATTACTATTGATAACATCATATAAAGAAATTCCCTTTCACGTTGTACATATTAGTTTTGTTAGCAGAGTGATCAGTTATTGTCTTACGTATTTCTACTTATTGTTTGTTTATCACAATACTATTCATCGACACTTATAATAATTTAGATTCAATATCCGCAAATTTGACCGAAAGACCACTTACTTTCCCTCAGTGTTTCACTCTAAATTGATTCTTAACAAAATTGATTCAACTGACTTGATGATTTCATTCCATTTTCCATATTATTTAAGCTGTACCGATTATATTTCTAGCAATCTGCTGTAAACGTATTTTACAGCATAAGCTGCTACAATATAATATGTATCCATTGATGATTGTGGTTCTTATCAACAAAACCAAATAATATTAATATTCACTATATTTCCATCTCTATTAATCCATGTGCGATATCTAGAACTTCTAATTAACAGGATAAGAAAAAGCATTCGTAAAGGAATAACCAGAAAACCCTCTTCTTGACTATTCCTTTGGCGTTAATGGCCATTTTGAGTTAAGAGAAAGGGTTAAAACTACATTCGTATTTCGTTCTTTTATAATATGTAGTGTCTGAACTCTTTAGTAATACTCAATTTCATTATACAACTGCTTTCAATCACAGCTCAACAATAACTAGTCATTCAAGCATGTGTTTTATTATCATTTCGTTCCGACCTGCAAACTGCAGGGATCTTCTATTTTTATACAATACCACAAACATTCATTTCATTCACCTTCTTCCATTCATAAATCAATCTCTCTTCCTTCATTCCATCCAATCCACCATTCCAAGAAAAACACCACTATAAATGTTCTATATCAAAAACACTCAGTACCAAATACAGAATCATTGGGCTAAAAACACACACAACCATTTATTCGGTTAAGCCAAGTTTCACTTGGAGATCTTGTTAAATACTTCAAATTGCATTCGAGGAACGAATACTTGTATATTACATTTAGCAAGAACAGTCTTTGGTAGGGAATGGCGATCAGTTGTTGTTAAATACTTATATCGATTTATATAGACATGTGAATCTGCATTGTGACTAATTTGAAGCCATTTCTATATTTCCATTCGCGTACTGTGTATAAAAGGTATGTGTTAATACCAATTTCTATTTTTGTTTTTTACTCAGAACTTCTTTCTGCTTATTATCTATTTCTTTATTCGATTTGGGTTCAATTGACGATCGACCACATTCAAATTACCCACGATTCGCTTTCCTACAACTTATCGCCTTGATGGAATGAAATATCCTTCTAATCAAAGTTAATGAGACTGGACTCAATGAAAACGGTATATTGCGTGATCATGAATAGTAGTCATGACGAAATCAAGCCACATCGAATTATATCTCCTCACTCAATATAACCATCTGCGTTTCCATCATTTCTTCACTTCTCCACCACTCATCCAATACGATAAATGACTCTTTGTTTTCAGTAGTATCATAGTATTCCAAACTCACGCAAACCTTTCAGATTTCAAACAATTTATCATTTACAAATAACGTAATACTTTCCACTCCACTATGCAAATTAGCAATCAGAACGTCATTAGACTATCAATTCTTTATGGTAATTCCAGGAAACAAACACTATCTTTATTCCTTCCTTCTCACATTACTGTTTTGTTAAATTTCTGGTGTAAAGTGCCAAGACTCAGCATTTATACAAGCATTTCTCCACTTGCTATTCTTTTCTCATTCCATAAACTCTTACAATAATTCAAACATACAGACAACAATTACTATCACATAGTATTCAGTCCAAAAACTTCTACACTGTTCATGACCCCTCAAAAGAGTTATCATTCCATTCCTTAGCAACGAGAATGTACAGCATAATCATGATAGCATTTAAAGGTCAGTTCAATAAGAAAAACTAATTATAATACTATGCATTTATCCCTATTCTATTCTCTTATCCATTCAATGAAACAACTCTAATCATGATTTGATTATGTCCAATATGAATCGATCTACCCATATCATTCAACTTCACACCGTATGGAAAAAAATAAAACCAATGCAATTGATCAAATCTTGAAATTATACTGGTTGTGACAAATATTCCTAAATCTAATCTACGACTATTAGAACAGTAATAGACACTTGGTGAATACGTATAATTTGTAGGAATAGATTCTTGATTATTCATTTTATAGTCCCATTCAGATAGATTATTCAATGTATGCTTATCTTATTTCCTATTATGGATATCCTCAAAATCATTCCATTGTTCCTTTGAGAAATGACCGAAATAACAACAACAACAACAACAACAACAACCACTTCAGTCCAACCATCAACAAACATGCAAATAAGTAAATGGCTAAAGTTGTGTTTTAGAAATACCATCTCTATAAAGTCCTATTACTCAAATCGAAATGAATGACTAACAAATAAAAGATATATGGGTAGTGATAATTAATGGAATATCTAGAATAGATTCCAATATCTTACTAATTATTATGTCCATTTTTGTTCCTCATGCTATTTCCTGTTATTCATCTCAGTCGAATTATAATTCAATTATTTCAATATCACTGAATAATGCTTTCAAAAAAACAATAACAGAGCAATTATGAGATAATCAAAGTGCATTATGATCTAGTTTGTCAATTCAAGTCTATTCTATTTCTTTTTTATCGGATATATTGTTTCCATTATTTTCTGTGCCCTTGTTATTATTTTTCATTATTGTAAAAGAAGCTATTCATATAATAATAGACACACACAACACAATTGTTTTTAAGTGGATCATTACAAAATGACTACAATTTGTGCTAGTACAAATAAGCACTGTTTTTTTGTTTCTGTCCCTTTCCATGTTTACAGCCATAAGTGTACTCACACTACCATCAATGCTTCACAATCGGAAAATAAATTACATAAATCCTTGTATATCAAGACAATCCCTGAACCAAAATCTCCATCAATCAATGCTTTTTACTACCGCTGTACATTCTATTTTCCTAGTAATCGAAACCCGCACTATTTTCAAAACCATAATAGAAACTTCAAAAAACAACATCCATCCATGAATAAATACGTACTCTTTCTGTCTACACTCACTTCATGCATACCATCTTTCCATTTCTTATACCTGTTTCTGCAAATTCTACCCACCATTCACCTTCCCAAAGATCATTCAAACTCTGCTCCATCTCACCATGCTATTCTCATTTCCTTCCCAACAAACACATCATTTGCTTTTATGCGGAATGCTGTTATAAATATGGTTAAACCGACTGCCCTTGTACTTGTTCTCACAGGCATGCAGCTTGTTCGGCTTCATAATCAGACTGTGGATCGCGGACGCACATCCGATCAGCTCCGACTTCTTCACCCCCGTAAACTCCTCAAAGCTTTTGTTCTACCCATCACTCCCTCCCTGCGTTCCCTCACCCAACTGTCCGTATACCCGAAGTACTTCCGGGCCAGATAAATCGCGGCTGCGGCCTGCACGGAAGGCTTCCACGCCAACATGCTGATGCTCTGCAGCATCCGATCGCAGATGAAATAGCACATGTAGTGCACGTCGTTGTTCGAGGATAACTACGCATGACTCGCTCACTCTCGACGCTACGCGCAGGAATCGCCCTAAAAACTTGTTTGTGGTGGGGATTGTGAGATCGTATTTAAGCATGTTCACGATTTTCAGCTCCATTTTCTTCACGTCGTCTTCCGAGTAGACATTATCTGCGAACTGGAGAATCATTCGGATTTCTGGATAGTAGATTTCTTCGTATTTCGAGGCGATCAGATAGGCACTCACGCCAACGAGCTGGTAATTGGTGCGAGACACCATGTCCTTCTTTTCGCGGATCGTGGCAGCTACGTAGCGGTCGATAATGTTTACGCATAGATATAACGTTTCACGGCGGTGGCGGAAGTGACTGTTCATTTCCACAATCCAGTCGATGAGCGTTTCACGCATATAGCTCTTCACATCGGTCTGACCATCTAAATAATTCGGTAAGCTTCGGAATTTGTCCTCTGTTCGTAGCCAGGAATTGACAATGCGTTGTGCGTAGGGAGAGAAATTTAGTTGAACATTTCGGTCGTGTTCGTCCACGATTTGTTGAATTGTAGGAGCGGGAGCCACAGCTGGCTTCGCAGGAACGAGTTCGTTCGTAAGGGTCACGGGCTCTATTCCTTACGGTGATTTGCTGTCTACTCACTTTGATTTACATTGCTATTTGCGTCCTGGAGCGGATTGACAAGCGCTGGCTTTTTTACCGCTAGCTCGCTCTCTTTTTCATCTAAGCGTAGAGTACGCTTGAAGACATTCCGCTCTGCGACAGGCTCAACGCTCTTGTCCATAGGTGTGAGAGAGAATGAAATCTTGAGGTTTGCTGTTTAAAAAAGTGGGCGAAACGCCCATGGTGTGGCAATTGAGGGCGTAGATCGACTCCATTGCACGTCCCAGAAGGTCTACTCCCTGTGCATGTTGAAAGAAATCATCTTCGTTTTGTGCTCGATTAATGCCACGCGATTTCTCTGGGAGTGAAATCCGCTTCCTGAGTCACTCCAGAATGGGCCCCGTCGTGCAGAATGTGTAAAACAAACAAATCCAATGAAAATTGAAAATAGAAGAGAATGACGAGTTCCGAAGATCCCGCCTTGAAACAATAGTAAACATCAAAACTTGAACATTGCAGAATACGAGCTCTGAATCACGTCCACCGGCGTCGTCATATTCGACCGCTCCTCCAACTACATCTCATCATGTCCCTCCATCCCCACCATATCTCCCAAATCCGTTGATTCCGTCTTTATTCGCAGCGACTTCTTCCGAGGCACCTTCGACGTCTCCACCACCGATGGACATGTCTAATCATCAATCTCCCTCTGCTCTCCCACCGATCGAATCATCGACCTCACCTCGCTCTCCAGCGCGCCCACATTCCCCGGCACCTCCTCCAGGAACTCCGCCGCACTCCGCCCATTCGTCGGCGCCGTCATCTACCGCTCATCCCCGCGGATAACCCGCACATTTCGCACCATTCGGTTCAGCCGACTCGAATATCCCGCTACCGAGGGGATCTAAAAAAAAGTCCCGATTTCTGGAATACCCCATTTTCTTGCCGTAACGCGGTCCAGCGTTCGCCTGAGACGGGTAAATCCTCGTGGGACATGAGCTGATAGGCGATGAGTCCGAGAGAGAAGAGATCGCGATTGGGCGTGATGCGGTCTTCGAGGCCTTCCAAAGCCATGTAGCGTCGATCACTGAACACGCTGAGCTCGTCGAAGTGCGCGGCGCAGCCGAAGTCGCCGATGCGGAGACGGCCGAGGTCGTCGAAGAGAAGATTGTCGGGCTTTAAATCGAGGTGAACGACGCGATGAGAATGGAGAAACGTGAGCGCCTGTTGAAAAGTAGAAACGTGGAACCGACTTGGAGGACGGTGTGGAGGAGAACCCAGATGAAGGGCTCGGAGATGGAGGATTGGCGAGCGAGAAAGGACTGGATGTGAGTCAGAGAGAGAGAGAAAGAGACGGTGAGATTGCCGCGAGCGCAGCACTCCATGAGGATGTACATGAACGCTAGAAGGTTAAAAAAAGGAAAAGAGAGAGAGAAATACAGTCTTCTTGCCAGCATTTGTAGTATTGGACGAGGTGGGGACAGTCGCGAACTTCTTCGAACATCTGGACTTCTTTGAGAAAGCGGTGGCTAGGATGAGAGGAGGTGGAAAGAGGAGAACCGGTCGGTCGTTTTGAGGACTTTTTCTTTGCTGCGTTTGATGGCGTACGCTTTTTTGACGCTTTTGCTGATCACAAAATCCACCATCGTGAAATTGCCCTCGCCCAGGTTCTTCACTGTGATGAACTCCTTCTCGTATTCGCTGTTTAGCGGAGGGCATGACTAGAGTGAGACTGCGGATTCCATTAATTTCTACGTCCAAAACTACAAAGTCGTGATTGGTGTCCACTGGCACGATCTCGACTAGAACTAACACAATCAATTACACAAATACGGTCATCCATTATCGAAGATGTGTTTCGAGACATAAAAGGAGACGACTCTGTGGAAGAATCAAACCGCAATGACTTCTGAATGTATGGGCTCTGCAGTTATCGAATATTCTATACTTCTTACAGGTGTTTGGTTGTCGGAATGCACTCGCTTTGCAATGGGAGTAAAAGCGGATCCTGCTCCATTTCCAATGTTCCGTTGGTTTCGGACAAGGGAATTACGGATATCTGAAACAAGATCCGTGCTGTTTACAACGCCACACTCACTACTATATCTTCCAGGTCTGTCAAATAGCAGTTCGGCTCTCGGAGTGGATATGCTTCCACTCCGTGAGAGCTCCTCCGCAATCTCATGGATTGACGACATGTCAGGTTTTAACGGACTTATATTGAGTGACGATACAGAATCACGCGATTCAAGACAGTGGTGACTCATTTCACCGTCACTCTTTCACTTAAATTCAAATTTGAGTTTATCCTGACTTCCTCCGTTCTCCTCGAATATTCGTCCAACAAACAATCCAACAAAACAACACAACCAACAGCTACATCACAACTCTAAAAGCAACCGAACGACCTCCCACCAAACTGTTCCGAATAATCTTGATCACCTGACCTTGCTTAAATCCGTAATAATGGCAAATCGGATCATCCACACTTATTTTCGGAAGCTTATCCGCGGGAATGCTTAAGCGCTCCAACAACTCCTTCGTCTCCTGCTCGCTCAACGCAATATGCGGAGGAACCAAGAAATGCTCCGTTATATCCACCAGCAAACTGCTTTCCTTGAACAGATCGAGATGGAAAATGGGCTCGAACTTTTTGCACGCGTGCTTCGCCGTGCTGGGAATACGGTTCTTCACTACGATTATGGCAGATGAGATGTTCTCCTTCTCCAACTGCTCAATGATTCTAGGGCTAAACGCTGGCCACGACTTCTACTCTCGGATTGCAGGAGCACCCAAACTAGGACTGTCGTTGAAAATGAGCAAACAACCATCATTCTTGTTCGACAATCGTTTTCCCTAGAAATGATGCAGTGCACATCCACGACTTACAATCACGGAAAGGCTCTCGTAATCAGGCTCATTACCGAACTATTCGATAAACGAGAAAACCAACAGCTTACTCTGGAAAGAAAAGCATCGTACTTTGTCATATCGTCCGTCATTCGCAAAACATATCCTCTATTCCAATTATCCCCCACTACGCAGCAAATACCTCTTCGTCATCATTTTAATTGCGTTTTTTCTAGCAATAAATGTGCTTTCTGTGCTGCTAATTTGATCTTCCATTCGAATCAACTGGAGAGTGGCCAGATAATAATGAGTTTTGAAGGTTTTCCATGGGTGAAACGCCCGTCTCCAACAAACATCGCAAAATAACTGATATAAGAGAATGTAGCTTACTGACTATTCGCAATTTACCAGTCGTCGTCATCATCACCGAAAAGACCACCTCCGCTCATATCAATGTCCTCTTCCTCTTCCTCTTCCTCTTCCTTGGCCTCCTCCTTCTTCTCCTCGGCAGCGGGAGCAGCAGCACCGGCAGCGGGAGCAGCAGCGCCTCCAGTGGGAATCGAAACGAGCTTGTCCATTCCAGACTTGATCAATTCCTCAACGTTCTTTCCCTCCAGATCGGCCAGGAGCTTCTCAATCTTCTCGTCCTCAGCCTCAGCGCCAACAGCCTCCAAAACAGACTTGATGTCTTCAGCCTGCAATTTATGCAAACCAAATGAATGATACAGTGGGCTTCTCGTTTCCTCCCAAAACGAGCATAAGGTAAGCAGCAAGATGTCTCATCTACGAAGAATTAGGTTTGGCTCATTGAAAACAACGACAAAGAAGAGCGTTGTAAACTACAGAGCATTTCAACGCGAACTTACCTCTTAAATCAAATCGAAGTGAATAAGAGTAGAGTTGGGAACATTTCCTATTCTGAGAGTGGAAGGGGATAAATTGATCCTCTGTATTTGATTTATGTATAATTGAATTCTTACCCCATTCTGTTCTTTTACTTGTTTGTCTATTTATTATTCTTATTTTAAATAGGAAAGGAATAGGAATTATAGTATGGATCGATGAAAAATGGGTTGAAGCTTGCGAATGAATGATCCCCAACCATCTCTCTCATTTCCAACAACAACAAACACGAAAGAACAAAAGAAAAACTACTACTACTACTACTACTACTACTTCTTGAGTTTTCGCATCTTCTCGGGAATACTCGTCAACAGCGGTGGTCTAGGATACAACTACCTCTCACTCCCTTCCTCCAAACCCACTTCAAACCCCTTCACAGCGTTCAGCCGCAACGTTCCCGCCATAATCTGCGCATACTTCTTCCTGGTATTATCCCCACCTATTCTCTCAGTTCCTTCCCTCGTCTCTCACCCTGCGCGAAAAAAGCGATCCATCCGAACCCTCCAATGCTCACATCCAAAAACGCCGTGTATTTCAAACTGCTCGGAGAGGCCGGCAACAGCGTGTTTCGCACTTCACTCGGCGTGTTGAGCACACGAGAAAGCGGGAAATCGCTCTGGTGCACGATCCCTCCCGATGCCAAATACTGCGCCTCCGAAAAGGGCGGAACGAAAAGCGTTCCTGCGTGTTTTGTGAGGAGAGAAGGAACGTTTTCTGTTTTGCATAGATGGAGAGACAAAGGCGAATAACTATATCCAATGAGCGGATTGGTCTAAGTGAAAAAAACGCAAAAGCGAAAACGTTTTCGTTTGCAACGTAATCGATGTGTCCTAAAGCGCCCAACAAAATGGAGTGGTTTGGATGGAGGGAGAACACGGTGGGGACGAGCGCTTTGCGCGGAAAGAGCAGCTTGGCCTTCTTCTGCTCCTCGGAGAGCATGGAAGTGAGCAGACGGATGCGATAGGCGGAAGGGCAGATGCCTGGAGTGTCGTACAGGAGAAACCGAGCGCCGTAGAGCTTGATCGCGGTGACGCCGAGCGTGGTGGAGGGGAGAGAAGAGATGGTGAGGAGGTTGTCGGAGGGCTCGAGCTCAAACTCGAGCTCGGATGGACCTGTTTCTGTGTTCCAATAATCGATATCGAAGTGGTCATCGGCGATCATGCCTTGCTTGTTGAGCTGAATGCCGTCGTCGGAGAGAGAGAGGAGATTGAACACGGAGACTTTGCTCTTGGTGAAGGCGATGCATTGGTTGAGAAAGGACGATTTCCCGGCTAGTGATCAGGGAGAGAGAGGAGAGAGGAACAGTTGGTCATGCCGATGAGATAGACGTGCTTGAAGGGAGTGTGGTTGATGTAGTTCAGGACGCTGCTGATCCCGATGTTGTTTAACGAACTCACGAAGAACACGTCTTTGATGTTCTAGATGGGATGAATGGCGAGGAGGAGAAAAATACGTTGATGTGGTGAGCTTTGAAGAGACCAAAGACCCAGCGCTTCATTTGAGGGGTGGGCGAACTCACAGGCAGCAGATCGGATTTGTTTACGATCACAACCATTGGCTTTTCGTGGACCAATTCGTTCAAATGGGGAATGATACTTCCCTAAAAGAAGTAGAAGTGGATTTGATCGCTTACGGGCAAATCCATTGCATCGCACACGAACAGAATCAACGAGTGCTTCTTGAACGGAATGCGATTGATTATTTCCTTAGGAATCGCGGCAGGAACTTGATCTCCCTCCACGGTGCTGCTGTACCGTAGCTATTCATAGTGATTCAAAAACCTCGCATACTTTGTGGCACCGCTGACACAATGGCTTCTTTCCGGCTTCTAAATAGGAAACGAGTGTGTCCTTGGGTATATAACCATAGTCCTTTTCTTCCTTATACTGCAACTTCACTCCACAACCACTGCAACACTGAACCTCCTTCAACTCCTTCCGGACGTCCACAAATCGCTTTTGTACCACGACTGTAGGAAAAAGATGCTTCTCTCCCACACGTACACTTCGAATTCGAGGAGTTCGCACAGAAGCGATGGAAAAAGCGCGCAATGATTTGGAAAGGAATCCTCCTGCTCGGTACAAGCGGCGTGTACCGTAGGACAACATACTCAAAAAATGATTGAAAACAAACACAACACGCGATGCGGAGGATGATATGGACACCCGAGTCCGTTTCTATTATGTTGCTAATCTCTCCCACCTTCAAGCGGAAAGCGCAATCCTCAAACGGCTTTTGCATCTGCCCCCGCTTGAAGAATCCTAGGTCGCCTCCACGCTTTGCGCTGGTGTAATCAAAATCAAATTCGAACTACCTGCTACAATCACTCTCCTTTTCAGCGATCCGTTTGAACGTTTCCTGTGGGTTTGAGGAATTCATGATCTGCTGGCGGATCGCAGCCAACTCCCGCGTCGCTTCTTCCTTCGAACAAGTGATCACCGGATTTCTCCACGAAGACGGTCTTCTCGATCCACTTCAAATCAAAGATCCTAACAGAATCTACTTGTGTTTCTTCAAGATATGACAGCAGCGCACCTGAGTTAGCTATTCCGATTAGTTTGTGCACCAATCGATTACTTCCTCTCTTGGCTCGTCCCATGTTGATTCTCCGGTAACCCTACCACATCACCTAAGCACCGAGTCTTTACGGGTTGAAGTAGTAAAACGCACCCGGATGACTCTTGCTTTCGTGTCGTTCCCAACCAGAAGGTAATGACATTGAGTACAATTATGATAATCCACCTTCGATGTGGACATGCGTGCTATATAAGAAATCGATAACACAAATTGCAATCTGAGGCATATTCGAGTATGTGCTTAGATTCTGCCGTGGCAAGTTGACTCTGTGGTATTGCCTCAGATTACTTCGGCGTCCATTCAGTTATTAAAATGGTAAGGTTTGCTGCTTTTCTGACACCGCGCTAACTGCTTTTTAGAGTGAAAAGTCTAACGTGATGAGAAACATCCGAGTTGAGAAGCTCGTCATCAACATTTGCGTTGGTGAGTCTGGAGATGCTGTCTCCAAGGCTGCTCGTGTCCTCCAGCAGATTTCTGGTCAGGAGCCCATTTACGGAAAGGGTAGGGAGTTTTGAGTGGGAGGCGCTTACATTCTAGCCCGTTTCACCATTCGTTCCTTCTCCATCCGTCGTAACGAGAAGATCTCCGTGCATGCCACCATTCGTGGTGAGAAGGCTCTGGAGATTTTGGAGCGTGGTCTGAAGGTGAAGGAGTACGAGCTGGTGAAGAGAAACTTCTCCGACTCCGGAAACTTCGGTTTTGGTATTCAGGAGCACATCGATCTGGGTATCAAGTACGATCCCAACACCGGTATCTTCGGTATGGATTTCTACGTGCAGCTGGCCCGCCCTGGTGGCCGTGTGAGCAAGCGTAAGGCTCAGCGCAGCCGCATCGGCTATTCTCACAAGGTGACTCGCGAGGAGGCCATGGAGTGGTTCAAGAAGACGTACGATGGAATCATTCTGGACAAGGCGAAGTAAGCAGCGGAGCATTCGAAGTTGACTACCATTCCTACAACTTTATGGGACGCCTTTGTGCGCTGTTTTTTGTATAAACAAACACAACACTTCGGAGGCGTGACACACGCACTGAAATCTTCTAAGAAGAACGGGTGAAACTTGATCTGCTCGAAGGAGAAGCGCTTATTGGGGTCCTGGATCAGCAGCTTCATGCAGAGATCCTTCGCGGAGTCCGGCGCGTTGCGGATGAACCGTCGATTGTTCACCGCGCGCATCTGGTCGGACTGGTAGTACGGATTGCGGAAGGATTCCGAGAGCTCTCGAATATCCTTCTTCTCCGCTACGCATCAACCTCTCTCCTCCCTAAGAACCCACTTTCCTGCTCGGCGGTGATTCCCACGATGAGTTCATAGAGCAACACGCCGTCTACGCATCACTTCTCTCCGCTACCACGCGTACAGGCCCACGTCTCCGCCTTCATTGTGTACCCCGACTTCCCGGCCTGCTCGGGAGCCATGTAGCTCACTGTGCCGCACTTCGTGGTGCGAAGCCCCGTCGTCTCCACCGCGCACGACCACCCGAAGTCCGTGAGCTTGACCTCCATGTCGCCGTTCGGACCGTCGGACTAGAAGGAAGCGGAAGGACAGAAAAGAGACGTTGTAGTTTTTGAATACGAGGATGTTCTCCGGCTTTAAGTCGCGATGCATGACGTTGTGTGTATGGCAATAGGCCAGGGCGCTAGAATCAATGCACGGCATTTGAAAAATACGCATAGACCTGGATAGCAACTTGCTGCACGTATTTGAGAGGCATGCCATTCAGCCATTGGTTTTTAATCATCACGTTGAAGAGCGTACCGAGCGGAGCGTATTCCATCACAATTCCGACTACAGAAAACCCATAGGAGACAACCCACCTCGGTCCTTGTCGAAAAAGCATCCGTAGACGCGTGTAATGCGATTGTGAATTAAGTGCGAGTGGATCTACCATCGACTTGACAACCATGCGCCTTGCCTGTATTTCATCGCGAAGCTGGGCCTGAATCCCGCGCTCACAAAAATGAGGTAAAAACATCACTTTAATTGCCACGTCCTTTTTCGATTCTTTTTCTCTTGCCAGAAACACCTTCCCTATCGTCTAACTCGATTCTCAAACGCTGCGTACCATATTGACCGTCCCCAATACTCTTTCGAAACCCAAAATCGGAAAATTGCCAACTACGCTTTCTCTGGTCGTAAGCATATCCATTTCAAAATCTGGAGCCTACCTCAATATCACCTGCTCCCTGCTTGTCCTTTGATTCGCTGGATTCCTCTGCCGCGGCATTCTGCGTTCTCCTCAGAGCGGTTCCAGGTCTCAACGCTGCGGTGGCGTAGCGTACCGATCTCTGGTTCATGTCTGCAACAAACAAGGAAAGAAGTAGTAAGGTAGCGATCAATTCTCTTTTCTCTATGGAACCCGATTAAAGGTTAGCAACGACGTTGTCATGGATGCGATCGGCCGCATTTCGCCCGTCCTCCGGGAAGCGGAAGTCCTCTCCGGTGATGAGCTCGTAGAGCTGGATGTAGCGTCGCGAAAGCTCGTTGACCAGGTCGGCGGGGGCCTCGGGGATCACCTCGTCCTTGTAGGGGTCGCAGTGCGTGCGGTACCAGGTGCGCAGGAACTCCTTATCGATGTTGTCGGGGTTCTCGCCGGCGGCAAAGCGCGCCTCGTAGGTGGAGGAGATCCAGTAGCGCGAAGAATCGGGCGTGTGGATCTCGTCGATCAGGCGGATCATTCCGTTCTCGTCCTTGCCGAACTCGTACTTCGTGTCCACCAGGATCAGGCCGTGCTCGTCCGCCACCTTCTGTCCGAACGCGAACAGCTCGCGCGCCTTCTGCGCGCAGTAGTCCCAGTCCTCCTGGCTCATGAAGCCGCGCTTGACCACGTCCTCGGGAGAGATCAGCTCGTCGTGCTCGTCCGACTTCGTCGTCGGCGTGATCAGGTTCTCCCAGAGCTTCTGGTTCTTCTTGAGGCCCTCGGGCAGGTCGATGCCGCAGTACTTGCGCACACCGTTCTGGTAGTTCGTCCACAGCGACGTCGACGTCGAGCCCGTGATGTACCCGCGCATCACGAACTCGATCGGGAACGGCGTGCACTTGCGCCCGATCGTCACGTTCGCGTCGGGGATCGCCAGCACGTGGTTCGGCACGATGTGCTCCGTCTGCTTGAACCACCACGCCGAGGTCAGGTTCAGCACTTGGCCCTTGAACGGCACCGTGCACAGCTGGCGGTCGAAGCCCGACATGCGGTCCGTGGTGATCAGCACCACCTTGTCGTTGCACTCGAAGCGGTCACGCACCTTACCGATGTACAGGTTCTGCACGTTGATGCCCTCCAGGTTCGTCTTCGAAAGCGTGTTGCCTGCGGGTTAGCCTCTCTCTCTCGTCAACCAATCCTACAGCGAGCCTGGTCGATCTTGCTCAGATACGACTTCGTGCGGATGTCCGAGTCCGCCACGAACAGAGTCTGCTGGTTCTCCTTCTGGATCTTGCGGATACGACGGGCGATCGACTCGTCGCTCAGAGCAAGGATCTTCGCCGCAGCCATACCGGCGTTCTCAGGGTCCAGCACCAGCATCGGGCACACACCCGAGGGCATACGGATCGAAGAGTACAGATCCGCACCGTTGAAGGAAGAGCTGTAGGGAGGGCAAATAATCACAGGGGTCGTGACGTTCGCATCAGCAAAACCGCTCAGAGCGTTCGAACGTCCAGCCACCGTGATGTACACCTTGGGCTGCTTCTTAGCCTCGTATCTCTAGCCCTCAGCAACCGCTCTCACGCCAACCTCCAGGAGTTCCAACAGGCGAGCCGGAGTTTTGTGAGCCGAGGCGATTCGCATCTCGCAGTTGATGCCAAGGTTCTAAGGCGTCAAGCCAAGCCATTCCGAAGAGTACCTTGACAGCTTTCTCGATCTTCTCACAATGAGAAAGATCACTCTTGGAGCCCATAAAAATTACAACAAGAGGAGAGGACATTGGTTCTAAACCTTTCGAGTACCCTTTGATTGAAATAATAGTGAATAATCCACAAACCCCACAATCGCGTTCAGTTGTTCAAAGAGTTCTTGATTATCAATAACACCTGTGCGTTTCCGGCAACTGTTTTATCGAAGAGAATCTTGCATTCAATGGAACAAAAGAAAAGATGATTTGACCCACTCCTTTTAAACAAACAGCACTCTGCACAAGACGTTACTGTTACAAATTAACATTGAGAAGACCGAGAGTCTAGGGTAAACTTGGCTAAATAGAGGCACATTGTCGATCGAGTCGAAAATCTCAAGAAGACGCTGGAGCTGAGGTTGCGTAAGCTCAAATACCACTGTGGACTACGAATCGCAAACAGAGACTGCAACCTACAGAAGAATGCTGCTTATCCTCCAGTTTTAAACTGATTCGGATGACTGTGAGTTGGTGGCGAAGCGAGTTGCCGTCACAAACGATCAGCTAAAGGAAAAGGTTTGATCTTCAGATTACTCGAAGGGACCAATTAAAGTCGAGTAGCCTCATGGAGGAGATCGACTGGATAAAGGAGTCCAAAATCTCACGGTATTCTTTGGCAAGAGTGATCACCTTGTCCACAACGTCAGAAATAATATCAGCGGGGAGTCCAAAATCAAAAAGCAGTCCTATAACCTAGAATGGTCCAAAAGTGACAAATCGTACATCTTCCTTTCGGATATGGACCTTCGAAGCAAAAATGTTCAGAAACTTGAGAGCTTGAATGCACTGAACGTTCAGCGCTTCATTGTAGACCTCTCCGGCAGAATTCATACTGTTGACCACTGAAAATGCCTAAGATAGTAAGATTATAGCAAAAGTACTAAAATGAAGTCATGGGCTGAGCTAAAATCGCTAAACACGCCTCTTTTCGTAATTTGCTCACCTCCACAAAGAATTCATGAAGTATCTTGCCTACAAGTCTTCTGCAGAATCCATCTGATAGAAAGGAAATGAGTAAACAAACAATGAATTGGAGGAACGTGTGTTTGACGAGTATATATTGAAAAATAGAATGTGGTTAGATTCTTTTTGCTATGCAGTTCTCAACGCTGTCGAATTAATCAGTATTTGCTCAACGATTGTGTTTGTGTTGCATTCTAATACGTCTAATAGCTGCAAACCATATTATGCAATGCATTCTAGTCTTATTTCATTTGTTTCCTTATCACCTCCCAAATCCAACACACCACATATCATTCAAGTCCTTCAACTATCCTTGTATTTCAACAAACAATAACACTTCTCACACATACTCTCTTATGCGCAGCAGAAATGGGAGGCAAAGCTTCCCGAATGCACGATCCATACCCCTCTTTATCCACAAAAATCTCCAGTTTCTTTGCTTGTTCGGCCACCTCCGTACTCAACCGAATAATAAAAATCGAAACAGTTACTGATATCCGTGAATCCATCATTCAAGAACTTGTTTTCTCCACTATTCGTCTCCGCGTACACCTTCACATAGCAGCACGGAATGCCCGTATGCGTCTTCTTATCCATCACTCGCAACTGTCCAGACTTCACAGACAGCGCCACAAGCAGCGAATTGTTCAGCGAATAGCAGGCTTCGCGCAGCGTTCCGTTCCTTTCGATTCCGCACTTCCACCAAAACATTCTTCTCCTGGTATTCTTTCGGAAGCGTGTAGCAAAACTCGCCCACGCCATCGACTTCAGGAGGCAGCTGGACATGCTGCGTGTAGTTGGGACGAATGAAGAGCGACAAAGACTTGTTGAACATGAAGGGATTCAGACTGAAGAGCAACTCCACATCCAGCTCGTAGAGATTGATGTCTGCCTCGCGTAGATTGTAGTAGTGCAGCGTAATCACCTGATTCGTGGATGACACTTCGAGCGAACTGTCCATATTCATTTGCGATCGTTTCTATTTGAATTCATCGCGAGCAAAGTCCGATTCGTCCCTGATTCCGAAGGTCTTCTCGACATCCATCGTTCCATCCACGCTCTCTACCATTGTAGAAATGTTGCTGAATAGATTTCGCCAGTACAGAACTGGATAGGACTCATAGCGAGCACAGATCTCGCGAGCCTGCGTCAAACTCTCCGTGAAACAATCGAAATACGCGATCATAGAATCGACCTGGACGTTGCAAACGCAGTCTGCGCGCGGAACAAAGCAGCCTTCTCGTTCTTCACAGACGAACTGTTTAAACACAGAAAGGGTGGTCATCACACGATCCTGAAGAATCAAATAACACACCAACAACGCGTAATCATTGAAGTATTTCCCACGATTCGATTCATTTCATTTCTGCTTCCTTCCATGTTTCCAACCATCCCAAAATCTCCACACCCTCGATCCTCTCCAATTTCGTTTCTCCAACAAACACATCATTCTGCACCTCGTTCCCTCTTCACCTGCTTCGTCTCCATCGTAAACAGCTTATCCATATGGAACTCCGTCTCTCGTATTTCCTTCTCCAGCTCCTCCGCGCGCCGATCCAAAAAGTTGCGATTGCAATTCTCCAGCCACAACGCTCGCAGATCGTTCGTGAGTCCGAACTTATACACCGGAACTCCGCTCTCGCTATTTCCCTGGTATTTAGAATCGATGTAGAACCGATCCGTGATCTTGTGAGTCCATTCTCTCCCTCTACAGCTCATCATCTCGTCGATGTCTCGCTACGCTTCTCGTTTATCGATCGATTCGTCTAATGAGCGCGTACTACTCACAGACAATGGGAATTTCTTCGGACTCGAGTCCACTGACTTCATGATGATTTCTTTGGATCCTACCTCGATACACCACGTTGCGAATTCGAATCGCATCGCCTTGGCGGATTTCTCCGGAGACGTTTTCTGTCATAATGATACATGAACTGTTCTTTTCAACGGTGGCTGTCCCCGAGAGCCGAGAGAAAAAGCGGTAGCGGCGAGGAAATATGCTGCTGACGCTGTTGCTTTTCTCGTCACGCGCTCCGATGATTTCTCCAGAACGAACTAACGAATCGATCATGTAGTCAGAATTGATATTTCTATAAAGAAGAATCGCCAATGATAAAAAAGTTATACGCAGCTTCTACTAACGATTTATACACTCCATCTGGCATGTCCTTCAAGTCATCCAACAGTTCTTGTTCGCTATCTGCATTGATTGGAGGCTAAAGCGATGGTACACATTCAAAATGCATACTTTGTAACGCAATTCCGGATAGTCAAATTCAATCAACGGATTCCGCTGGAGTGCATCCATCAACTCTTGATTTCCTTCAATATCATAACCGATGCAACGACTGAGCTCTTCCAGAGTCATAACCGAGTGTTTTCCAGCTTGACGTAATTTTCGTAATATAGAATTTCCCAGCACATCGAGGGAGCGGTCGTCTTCCGAAAAGGCTTCATCTTTTCATTACTCGACGCAAACATCACTACCATCGTCTTGCTTCGCACGATCAGACCATCTGTAGGTATTCATGAGCAAACAAGAGTTAAAAACCTGTCTTAGTGAAAAAAGGTTTGTCTCTTCGGAATTCCAAAAGACGAACAGAATTTTGAATCTCTCGAAATCATCAAACAAGCAGTAATTGGTCTTTTCCAATAGTTGTGTTTTTGAATTTACCTTGTCACATCTATTCAATATATTAATTACAGCATGTATTGCAGTGGTACGCATTTTTACGAGTTTTTAAATCCTTATAGATGAAACTGGAGGAATCGTGGTGGACATAGGTAGTTCATCCATCAAAATGGGATATGGAGGAGAAGATGCCCCGAAAGCTGTGTACCCCTCAGTATCCCAATGCAGAATGGTTTGATGAAATAGTCTTACGGTTACAATATTCAAGATCCGTCTGCATTCTATTTAGGCACACTCGATCTCAACACTCGTCGGGATCAGATGGATATTAGTCCCTGCCTTGTGGACGGAAAGAGTCACTGCGTTTCTTTTGATTCATGTGTAGTAACAAACTTTGATGCTTTAGAAAAGCTTCTCCAATACGGAGTGAGTTCCGGCCTTCACTACAACGCATCGGAGCACCCGCTCTTCATCGTGGTGGACCCCTTCTTCTACAACGAGCAGCTCTTCAAACTCGCAGAGCTCGCCTTCGAAAAACTCGGTTTCCCCGCGATCTACTTCATGAAATCCTCCTCCTGCATCGGGTACTCGCTTCTCTCCTCCCTCCACGCCCAGCTTCTCCCTCGGCAAGACGACCTGTCTCTCCGTGGACTTCGGCGCCAGCGGAATCCGCGTGGTTCCCGTCTTCGACGGCTACTCCCTGATGATGTGTACGCTTTCGGCCCCGCTGCGAGGTAGCGAGCGTCGTGTCTCCCTACGGCGGCAACTACCTCAACCAGCTGCTCAGCGAGAAGCTGAAATCGAAGGAGATCCAGGTGACGGCGCCGTGCTTCATCAAGAAACAAACCGTCGAAGGCGTGGTCGCCAACATCCAGAAGATCCAATTCCCCAACACGCGGCCGTCTTTCGTTACTTATTCGCAGATGGTAGGCTTTGAGAGCGGATTCGAAGCAGAACATCATCCGGGATATGAAGGAATGCTGCTTCCGCCTCGCTCCCAAACCGCTCTCGCAGGCGTAGCGGTGTGTGATCGGGTTTTTGTGTAGACCGCCGCCGTCGACGCCGATTTCGTACACGCTGCCTGATAACATGGAGGTGCATTTGGACCAGGATTCGTATTATATCCCCGAGGTGATGATGGTGGGGACGGGGACGGTGCGGGTTTGGATGGGAGGTGAGGGGTAGGAGAAAACGCAGCCGTTGCCGGACACGATGTTTCAGTGCGTGCAGAAGTGCGATGTGGACGTGGAAATCGCGGATCGGGTTTTCATGGTAGATTCGAAAGGAGCTCACGAATAATGTGGTGCTGGCAGGCGGCGGTGCGTGCATGAAAGGGCTGTCGGATCGACTGAATTACGAGCTAGGGAAGCTGTTTAATAGTGTGAGGAGAGGGAGAGGGGTGGGAGCGTAGAGTTATAAGCCGAAGCTGTATCTCACGGAGCCGATTTATAGTCCGTTCAATGCGTGGACGGGCGGATCGATCATCGTAAATAGGTTTGTGGGGGAGTGAGGCGTAGTGCTCGTTGGGCTCCTTCCAGCAGCTGTGGATCTCGAAGAGTGAGTATCATGAGAAGGGGAATGAAATCGTTCTGAATCGTTGTTGAAGTGTTTGTTTGGCGATAGACTTGGAAGGGAGTAATTGTGGATGAGTTGAGAGAGAGAGGGAGAGGAGTGAACGAGAACAATAGAGAGTCAATCGACTTTTATTATGAAGGACTACTAAAACAGAAATGAAACAACAATAGCCAATCGCAATTCAAATAAACAGAAATATTGATTCAGACTGTATCACATACGACAGAATCATTCATTGATATGGAATTGAATCAATCGATTCATTGATATGGAATTGAATCAATCGATTCATTGATTCATTGATTCATTCATTGATTCATTCATTGATTCATTCATTGGTTCCACAACCTTCATTCATTTGCAAACAAACATTCCAAACAATACACACACACATACACATGTACACTCCTCTACCCATCTGCATTCATCACTCCCTGCGGTCCAATCGCAAACGTCGCTTCATTCTCTGCCAAATCAGGACTGTCGTACACTTTGCTACCCTCGCATCCCTTCTCCTCCCCTACCAAATTCGCTGCTCTCCCTTCCCTTTCTTAAAATACAACCGCGTCGTACTAGCATGCGCGATGATATTTCCTCCGATCGGCTTCTTCGTGTCCTTCACGAACTACCCCTCATTCCGTTTCCCCATTTCCACCATGGCCGCAGCGCCCGGGTCCGCTGTGACCTGATTAATAATCACCACCGCCACATTGAACTCCTCCGCCACTATCTCTCACCCCATTTCCCCATTTCCACGTTTTTTCAAAGCACTCAAGTGTCTTCCGAGCTTCTGCTGGCGCTCTGCGAGTTCGCCGCGTCCGCTGTAGTCCACTCGGAACAGCGCGGTGATCGAGTCGACCACCTATCTGAGGAGTGAAAACAAACAATACCAGTAAGTGATAGGGGGAGTTGTCCTCCACGATCTTGGCCGCAGCGGCCGTGATCACGTCCATTTGCTGCTCGTGTGTGTACGCGCGAGCCAGCAGAATGTTGTCTAACACTTCGTCGCCGTTGAGGCCGTAGCGCCCTGCGATCTCCACGACGCGCTGAGGCCGGCTAGAGAGATTAAAAGTGTGGGTGCGGAGCGTACAAGGTGCCTTCCGTGTCGAGGAAGATCACTTTCCCGTTCGCTCCGTGCATCTCTGAGGGGAGCTGAGCGGTCACGCAGAGAGTGTGGGCGAGTTGGGTTTTGCCTGTGCGGAACTCACCGAAGATCTCGGTGATGCTCATGGTTTCGATGCCTCCTCCTAGCAATGTGTCCAAGTCGCTGCTTCCTGTGGTGATTTTGATCACACGCTGACGAAGCTGCATCATTTCGCGGCCGGTGTAAAAGATTCCGGTAGACTAGGAGTGGAGAAATTGGTTCATACTCACTTGCATGGTGCGACAAGCCTGCATGATCTTGTCCACCTTGGCTTCACTGAGCCCCTTCACGTTGATCAAATCCTACATTATTAGTATTTTGATATGCAATTCAGGGACGCACTTTCTGAGGCGTTTTCAAGACCATTCCAATTGTGTAGTATCCTCCATCTTTCAGTTTTTGAATATCTCCCGCATTAATGCCCAGCTGCTGAAGCTTTTCCACGGGGTCATACGTGATGTCCTCATCTCCCTCCACCTCCGATGCATTAATCTCCAGTCTAGAAATCACATCTTACCGCTCACCCTGTACTGTTTTCTCACAGAATAACTTAAGGCCATACTAATTTATGACATTCATGGAAGCTTGGGCGAGAGAGAGGGAAATCTCGTTCCGCCAATCATTTTCGAACAAACAAAAAACCCACAAACTCTATTACTTCCCATAAAAGAATCCCTAAAACCGACAACACCACAAACTATATTCCAAAAACGCCTAGAAGGCGATCTCCTGTCTTGAGAGCTTCACATTCCCCGAACCTCCATCAATCAAATCCCCTGGTCGTATCAACCGCTCGAAACTCACCTCTAGGACTCACTCCACCCATTCCTCACCCACTTTCTTCGGTTCGGTCCTGACAAGGTAATCCAAAAACGCATCCGTGCAATCCCTTCCCCACCGTGTCTACATCGCAACTCCTCCCCATTCCTACCGAACGAATACTCCAAGCACCCCTTCGCCTCGCTCCCTCGGCTCCCTCCGCTGCTCTCCTTCCCCTGGAACGACCAAATCACCGGCAGAAACGTCGCTCGGATCACAAACGGCTCCTCCACCTTCTCCCGCTCGCCCTTCTCCAGTTTCTCCAGTTTCTCCAGTTTCTCCAGTTTCCCCGGTTGGCGGAGCAAAGCCATGGGCCCATTGGGTCCGGTGGGCGCGGACTGCACGGTCTGCAATCCTTGGGATCCCACGGCCTGAGCGCTACCGAGCGCTGGAGCGGTCTGGAGCGCGTGCCAGCCGCGTGGCTGCGTCTGCGTCTGCGTCTGTGTCTGTGACTGAGACTGGGAGGCGAGGCGGGTCTGGGAATGGAGCGGAGGGGGCAGGGAGGTGTGGGACTCGTCGGCACTGCGGCGATAGACGCAGCGCTGGTGATGGTCGTCCCAGTAGGAGCCCGGTCCGGGGTGGGTCTGGGCGTGGAAGTCGGCCTGGCGAGCGGCCATCTCCTCCTTGGTGAAGCAGTTCTCCGGCGCAGCGAGGCGGTGGAGGTAGAGGCAGTCCGGGTTGTTGCACTTCTGCCCGCGGATGAAGGTGTAGCAGTATTTGGTGGTGCCGTAGCTGGCTCTGTTTGTGAACAAAGAGGAGAAAACACACTTCAGCATGCGATGGAGGTAGATGTAGCCGTCCACCGCGTTGATGCAGTCGAGGGCTTGCTCGTTCGTCTCGTAGGTCAGGTACACACCGCAGGTATTCGAACGATCGCCCACAGGGTTGCGGTTGTTGAACACGATCTTGTTCAGCTTGCCGTATTGGCCAAACATGTCACGACGACGGAGGATTGACTCCGATGCAGATTCATTGGGTAAACCAATGACATACACTAAATTCTTTTGAATCACTCGGACCGTTTTTAAGTCATGAGTGTCCTCTGTAGTGGTAGAACGCCGCGAGTCTTCGTCACTATGCACTCTGGAATGAATTGTTTTCTTTTTCCTACCCCATCATAACAATCTGGAGCAACTCACTTTTCTTTCACCTCTGTGCGGCGAAAATTCTTCTCGTTATAAGGCTTACGGCAGTTTGGACACGGCTTATTCGAATCCATAAGCTGCCTCAAACACCACAAACACACCTACAATTACACTCCAACAGCTCCAAATACTTGACAATTACAAGAGCAGGGAAATAAAGATTGGTCTGTGTCATCGAGCTCATTTGCACACAAAGGACAGCACGGAGCATCATCACTCTCGGATGTACTGCTCATCGACTCAATCTCCGACATTTTTACCAAACGATAACAAATCTATGAATTGCTTTCGAAAACTTTGAGATTCCATTCGCACTTGTCACTCCTCTCCACAAGCATCACGACTATTGTACCTTTCCTGCAACAAACAACAACAAATACCGCTGAACAAGGTTGGCATTTCGCTTTACTTCTTCTTCTGGTTGATCTTCTTGTGGTAGAACGCCAGCTCCTCATCCTCCAGAATGTATCCGTCAGCACGACCGCACTGACCCGGACGCGACGAGATGCGAGCCAGGATCTTACCCGAAGCCAGCTGATCGATCACTTCCTTCTGCTCCTGAAGGGAATCCTGCAGCTTCTGCAGCTTCGCAAGGTTCGACTTGCTCACGCCCTCCAGCTTGCTCAGATCGTCCTTCGTCACCTCGCCCTTGGCTCCGATCTTGCACGAGTAGTGCTTCTCGAACCAGGCCTTGAAGGGGGTCGCATCGATCGAAACAATGCAGCCCTTCACAATGGTGTTCGTACGCACCAACTCGTTGTTGGACGCGTTGTACACAATGTTCAGGATCTTGGTCTTGGCAGAGAAAGCTACAAATCACTTCACTAGACAAAAATCACCCTCTCCAGTCCAGGAGAACGAACCAGTATCCAGACGGATAGCACGGTGCTTGATGTTTCCACCACGGCAGCGGACCAGGTAAATTCTCTTAGCTCCGAGCTTGGTCATGGCAGGCTGACGACCCATCTCGAACTTTCTCTTCTTGATGTTGATCACAACCTTTCCTCCAGTTAAGCGACGCTTATGACGAGAATCACGGCAAATACCTAGATCACTGTTAACTCCCTTTGCTCCCGATCGAAATTCACGAATTCAATCTAGCTGCAATCCAATACTTACCCATGCTTTCTAATCGACTGTTCTAGCGATAGTATTGAAACTTCAAGCCACAATTGTAACCGTACAGTGATCGCATGATTTGCAAGTGTACAGTGGTTAACCCCTTCACTTTACACAATATAGCGAATTGGATAATATAGGGGTATGCTATTATAAGGCTAGGAAGCGATGAGTCTATATGGGGTTATTGGGGTTGTGGAATGGGTTTTCCAGTAGAGTGAGATAGTGGAATAGATGTGATGTGTGATAGGCATAGGAACCTTTTTCTTATAATAGAGGAATTGGAATAGTCTTGCTCGTTTCTGGGTGTGTCGGGTGGTAGTTATTTTAATTGGCGAGATGTGGTTGTTGGCTGTTGGAGTGAAAATATTTGGACAAAACAGAGTCGATTTATGAGTCTGTATGGTTTTCATTTATGGTGGCTTTCAAGTTATTTTCGAATGGTTCATACATTCGTACTATGTGCTCTCAATGGATTTTCTTGGATATGTAGACTTTTCTCGCTGTAGTTCGCTTGCTTGCAGGTTCAATGATTCTACTATTTTGCTCTTTGAAGCCAGTCATTTTATAATTGCTCATATAGACTGCTTTTTATTGTTTTGCTCATTGTACTTTTATTACTCCATCAAATCATAATATCATATTAAAAATCCATGCTTCTTCTTATATACAATTCATCTAAACCACAAATAATGTCTATTGTGATTGATTGACTCACGACCACACTTCTGTTATCTATTCACCATTCACTGACTCAAATATCATTCTTTTCATATTTCCTTTTTCGTTTTTAACTCTTGTTCAAACACTATTCCTTTCACTTTCTATTTTCGTTTCGACTCTCTCTGCACTCCTTTTATACTCCAAATCACCTTCCATTCCTTTCTTTCCAATATTGGACCCTAAATAAAGTGGGGCAAATACTATTAGAACTACCATTTTATAATAAAGGTCCACAGTGAAATTGGGTCACTTTAAGAGCTTCTCCTTTTCTCTATTCATTCTCTTACATATTCTTTCGTATAAGTCATGCTCTCTAGGTAATTGCTTGGAATGACGTTCTAAGGCTCTAGATTTGCTTCAAAGACTCTCACTAGCGCTCGCTTCTTGGCTTCTCGTTCCTTCGCTACTTATTTCTCGAAGGATCACGAGTGGATTGAGGTACCTTTTATTGATCATTTGGCGATATTGCGTAGTACACTGCTGGAAAGCCCGCTGTTGTTGGAATTACTGACTACGCTCAGCACTCCCTTGGAGATATTGTGTACATTGAGCTCCCTGAAGTCGGATCCACCATCAAGGCCGGGTAGATAGCATTGGTTTGAGTTCATCGTCAGAGACTCTTTCTCTTCTGTGGAGTCCGTGAAGGCTGCTTCGGACGCCTTCTGCCCTGCCACTGGAAAGGTTCTGGAGGTGAACACTGTAGGGATGGTGTTGAGTTGTGAGTCTAGGTTCTTTCGGAGACTCCCTCTCTGGTGAACGAGTCCCCCATGGAGAAGGGATGGTTCATGAAGCTCGAGGTAGGTTTCTTTGAGCGAGGTGTGATGCGTAGCTGTCGAACCCCGATGAGCTGAAGGAGCTGATGGACAAGGCTGCTTACGACAAGTTCTGCAAGGAAGCGGAGCACTAAATGTTCTGAATAAGTCCGCGTGTTTGTTCCTCAAACAGCCCAACCAACTGATTCCACATTCGTGTGATTCCACATTCAATGATTCATTCAATTCATTCATTCAATCGACTCATTCTCCGATTCATTCAATTCATTCATTCATTCATTCTCCGATTCATTCATTCATTCATCTTCCTCCGCTTCCTCCGTCTCCTTGGCTTCCTCCTGTTGCTGCTGCAGCTGGCTGAGCTGGTTGAGCTCGCGCTCGGTGAGCTGGTGAAAGGACTGGTTCATGGCCTCGTTGCTCTGCACGCTGTCGTAGTCCTCCCAATAATGCTTGATGTACTTCAGCAGATAAGGATTCAGGCTGTCGATGATGTCCTTCACCGCCTCGTTCTGCTCCTCATTCGCCGCTAGTCGCTCCTGCTCATCGCGGATCTCCGACAGCGCGCTGCTCTGCCGCGCCAGCCCGCTATTCAGCGACCGCCACTTGCACATCTCGTACTGCTCGATGATCACATCGCCGCGCAGAAAGCTCATGTAGCTCATCGCTGCGAGGAGATCCAAGTACTACGCATCACTCCTCGCATTGCTCAGCGCCCACTTCGATGATTCCTCGCATAAAATTGAGCAGTTGACAGTTCGGATAGTAGCGCAGAATCGTCACTACGCATCAGACTTCGCGGTTTTTGTTCGATCCCACTCGAGGAGTTGGAACTGTCCTGCATCGCGAAGCAGTAGTCCTCCGAGGTCCACAGGAAGCAGAGGTCCATCGGCAGGATACGCGCTACGCGTTAACAAACAAACAAGCAAAAGAAGCGAAAATACCCGAACAATCGCCAACGTAGTATAAAAGACCGAAGGCCAGGCTGAAGACCCACGATAAGATGCAACACAAAATCTTGGTCCATTTTAGCTTCTTCCAGATGGAGGGCAAAAACAAAAAAGAGCAAATCACATCGATTGAATATGCGATGCATCCATAAAGCGCCAGTTTCGTTGTGAGCTACATCTTTCAAAAATATGGGCAAGCCATACACTGCTATGATAATCTGGATAGTTTAGAATGTCAAATAGCGAAGTGATGAAAAAGTACACATTGCTATGGGATGTAAGAATGAAAATTATCTAGTTTCTTAGCCAAGCGAATAAAAAATACAAGCTGGCACAAGTCGAATATACCTCGGAATAGAAGATTAGGAATAACAAATTGTGCATATTGCCAACTAGTAAACATATAATAAATGGAGAAAATTAGCCATGGTACAATAATGGAGGCAGTTGAAGTCATAAAAATGGCACGATTATAGCCTTCCCTCCCAACCTCCGACAAATAGGGAAATAGGCATCCACCTTGAAATCTGGAAATGAGCAAGATGAACCAAAAAGAAGGTACTCGTTAAAGACTGCACTAAGTATGTTCATTAATATACTAGGAAGCATGAGCCCGTACAGAGCAATATAACTTCCATTTAACTGACAAAAATAGAACATGTTCAACAAGCCCTGCTTGCAGAGGCGCCACACTCTCCTGGAGAAGGTGAAGCGCTCTATACGTTCTGTAGCTTTATTCCGATCCATGGGAAAAGGAATCAAAACAGATAGTGTGTGATTCACTCAAACAAATCGTAAAAAACTCAAAATCGATACTGATTTAATTGAATTTCTACCCTCAAGACCCTAGCAAACCACTCACTTTTGTTCAAGCACAAAAGCTGCCGACTGCGATCAGGTTGTTTTCTCATAGTTTTCAGAAACGATCGATAAATGGGAAGCATCGACGAGGATTTTAAAAAGAAATTGAAGCGATACTGCATCGCAAAAGACGACCTACAATCATCACGACGAAGTGCGTTCATCGTACGATTTGTGTGGAATGTCCACAGCAAAACCATTGTTCAGAATATAAAACTCGTAGCCAAGATACCGCAAATTCTCAATCCACTCCACTTTGTTGAAACCATAATTGATAAAAAGCTCATTAAAAAGTGGAATCCGCTCAGACCGTTTGATCATGACATACGGCTCCAAAAAACGTTCTTTAAAACAAGGCATGTAAATGACTGGCTGATCGGGATTCCGGTGCATCCAATCATCTGGCAGATAATTCTACACAGTCACAACGAGCGGGTTTGGGAACATGGGTGAGAGAATGAGGTCTAAAGATTGTGAAGCGACCCTTCTCAAAGTCTTTCACAAGTTCGGCCTTTGTGGAGGGAATTCTTGAAAGAGCTGTTTCAACACTTTTTTCTAGAGAACGCAGTCGACTTCCGTCGACATAGCTTGGATCGAAGGAAAAAACGGGCAGAATGGTTATGAAGTTTTCATTCCGGAGATAATCCTTTGGCAACTTCAAAATCTCGTCGTATGTCGATAGGGACGGCCAGGTGTCCATATCAAGAACAATAAAGTGGGTTGTTTGGACTCGCTTAATGGAAATGTTGCGAAGTCGGTTAAGTGGGTAAATTTTACTACGAACACAGTCTATGGTGCCTCTCGACGTCTTTCTAAAGATGCAATCCTCGGAAGGAGTAACAACAACATAAAGAGTGAATAAAATACGAGGCGGGAAATTTCCGTTCTCAATGAACGCCCTCACTTCAATTTCTTCTCTTGCAGTGCAATAAACGGTAATCGAAAGCGGTCTAGATATAAATTCCACTTTCTATTGCGAAAAGAAAACGTACCCCCTCCATCGGTCGAGCAAGTGCTGGATGTAAAAGAGACGACTCTTTCTAAAGGGGAGGGCGAGCAAATGCGTTCTACGAGGTTTGAGAAACGATGGTCACATCGAAGGAAGCATCTTCATGGAGAGGATTATCCTCCCCAATACTATTTTCATAGATGATTCTCTCCTTCTGGCTCGATCCCACATACGGAATGATCCGATATTGCTGAGAAAAGCCTAGCTCATCTTCCGATGGTACATCGTCGCTTGAATACACGTTCATGTAAATGTCGCTGTAACTATCACGAAGCTCGCAGTTCACTGGATGCCGGTAGAAGTAGACTGGAAGTAGGAATAAAAAGAAAAAAAGGGATTACTGTTTTGTTTTATTGACTTGACAGGTTGGATCTGAGTAATACCACTCAGAAATGTCTCTCAAAAATCGATCGGAAACCAATTGAAAAAACCTGCTCATTATGTCCCTCCAACGGTAATACTGATTGCGAACTTGATAGTCATTGGTGAACAAAATTTGCATATAGCCACCAATGATCATATAATTACCATCTAACTTCTTTTTATTCCATAATAATACACTCGAAGGGGAAATTCCAATTGTCGATACAACTACTCTACAGCAATAATGGGAAAGATTTATACTCACAGAAAGCAAGAATACAAAATGCAAAACACTAAAATGGTTAAGAATGCCAACCACAGAGCGAGAGTACGTACACGATTCTTTAATAGTGTGGAATGTTCAGAACCCAAGTCTGAAGTCATTTCGTACACAATCTAACTGGGTAGACTTCGACTATATTTTATTTTGTGTGAAATGGGTTCTTGTCTTTCTTCACCTACGGATGGTAAAATCGTTGATAGTGCAGTCTCCTCTTTGGAAAACGGAAGTGATGAGGCTGCTTTGATTTACAATGGAAACATGGTTATGAGTTCGAAAATCAGTGTATGCATTAAGTGCATTATCCTTACCCTAAGCTTTCATTTGAATGCCAAAACCTTATTCGTTCTGATGTTCTTAGCAAAAGTGATCCGTTTATTGTAGTTTATATACGCACTGGAAATGAGCAGTGGCAGGAAATAGGCCGTACGGAAGTGGTCGTTAACAGTCAGAGGTAACGAACTTTGTAAAAATCAACACGCAGTCCTTCCTTTGTAAAGAAAGTGGTAACGGACTATAAGTTTGAGGAAATTCAGCATCTTCGTCTTGAGGTTTATGATGCCGATACAGAAGGTGATGCAACTAGCCTGGATCTATCGAAGCAGGACTTTCTAGGTGATGCTGAGATGGAAATTCCGAATTTGGTGCATTCCCGAAATGCCTATTCTCAGGAGTTGAAGGGAAAGGGCAAAACCACGGGAACGGTTTCTGTAAAATGCGAGGAATTGAATAATTCTTCTGGCAATGTAATATTTAAGGTGCAGGGGAATAATGTGCCCTCGAAGTGTTTCCTTCGTTTTTCTAATATCCTTTTTTTTGAATGCTTGTTTCTTGAAGAGAAGAGGAGGAAGGAGTGAAATGAATGAATTGAATGAACGGGTTTTGAATGAATTGAATGAATGAATTGAATGAATGAATTGAATGAATTGAATGAATGAATTGAATGAATTGAATCATCGATTGAATCATCGATTGAATCATCGATTGAATCCTCCAGTTCTTTGAATCTTCTCTCCCTCTTTTCCTCTCTTTGTTTCCTTCATTCCACCCGAGTCTGAGAAAAACGGCGTGGTTCCCGTCTTCAAGACCGAAGTCGCTTCCGCCGGCGACTGGCGCGAGTTCTCCATCGACGTTTCCCTTCTCTGCAACTGCGACTACGTTCCTCTCTCTCTCTTTCTCTCTCTTACCCCCAGAACCGCCCCGTTCTCATCGAGCTCTTCCAATACAAGCGCAACGGCAGCCATCGCAACCTTGGCTGCATCCACTCCACCACGCAGTCGCTGCTCCAAAGCGCGAACCAAACGCTTCCCTTCACCGGAGAGTCCGCAGAAGGCTCGCTAACCATCGCGAAATGCGTGTTCCAAGAGAAAGCGTCGTTCCTGCAGTTCATTCAAGCAGGTTTAGAGCTGAACTTCATGGTGTGCATCGACTTCACGGCGAGCAACGGGGCTCCGCAGAGCCCGTCCTCGCTGCACTACGCGAACCCGTCGAACTACATGCAAGGACTCTTCAATCAGTGCGTGAATCGAGCGGAAATCAGCGGCGTAGATACGAAAAGGCGATCTGCATGATCGGAAACGTGATCGAGTTCTACGACTTCGATAAGTTCTTCCCCGTTTATGGCTTCGGAGCCTGCCGCATGGGCTCCACCACCACGGAACACTGTTTCGCGCTGAACGGGAACGAGGCCAATCCGGAAGTGCACGGCGTGCAGGGAATTATGGACTTGTATCATCAGCAATTGGTTCAGTTGCGATTTTCTGGACCCACGCTCTTCGCCCCTTGCTTGGCGAAGGCGGCGACGTTATTGTTTGTTTGAACTAATAAGATAGTAGAGTCGCATCCATGATGCAGACACAACGAGATAAATATCTCGTGATGCTCATTCTCACGGATGGAGAGATTCACGATATGGAACCCACGATTCGGGAGATCGTGAATGCTTCGAGATTGCCACTCTCGATTCTGATCGTTGGAGTGGGAAATGAGAACTTCCACAATATGGAGGTATTTGTTGTTGGAGGAATGTGCGAAGTAGACTCTGGATGGCGATGAGAAGAGACTCAGTTATAACGGCGTGGAGGCAGCGCGCGATATCGTGCAGTTTGTGGCGATGCGGGAGGTTGAATCGTATCCGCCCCAACGAATCGCCCAGGTCTTGCTGGAGGAAATTCCGAGACAAGTCACGTCGTACATGACCTCGAGGGGAATCACTCCGTCGAATATTAAGCCGAATATTAAGTCAAATAATAATATGTCGTATGCAGTGTATCATT